AAGAGTAGGAAGGAACGAATGAAAGAATGATGAGAATAAAAAAAGCATGCTAACAAAATATTTGTGTTTAAATAATTTGGGTCAATCACGTGACCCGATGACGTCGTCATCATCATCATCGTTGTTGTTGTTGGCGCCGATGTTGATGATGACGTAGATGATTTCAATGACGTTGGCAACATCAAAAACGAGGGTAACTTGTTTCTATTCTTTGTTGGTGTATTTCCTGCGGCTGTTGTCGTTGCAGCAGCTGCAGCAGCTGTAGTAGTAGCAGTCGTGGCTTTCGTCGTTAAGATCGATAGCAGACTTGACTTTGAGGTTGATGTTTTATTCACCTTTGTTGTTGTTGATGTTGATGTAGTTGTTGTTGCATCATTGGTCGCTGGTGATGTCATACGTGATCCACTAACATCACTATTACCGCTGACAAAGTTCTAGGATTGTTGTTAAGAAACAGCGTGCATACACGTATGTACATCATATGATGTAAAATTACATACAAACATGCGACAAATACTAACATAAACTTAAACATACAAAACAACATGCAAACAAACATAAACATACAAAACAACATGCATACAAATACAACTAAAAAACAAACAAACAAAATAGGTGTGTATTAAAATAAAGGTATTATTATTATAATTACATGCAAATACACACAGCAATACAAACATTGTATTAACCTTTAAAACATGCATGTTAAATACTATTGTATCGATATGTTATTTTTACAAATACATGCGTGCACAACCAATGCAAACTATTGTGTGCATGAATTCATGATCTTGTATACAAATCATTACAAAAGTTTGTATACACAAGTACAACATTTGTACGAGGTTGTATGTGTATATAAATAGAAAAATGTGTGTATTTTATAATTATAAGTATAATCAATCATACAAAAACACCCCATTATAAATAAAGTAGTATAGACAAATCATGGCTGATGGCTTTAAAAATACATTTTAGATCAGTCAAATCATTAGCAATAAGAACATCAAAAACAACAACAACAACAACAACATCAATAATAATAATAATAATAATAATAATAATAATAATAAACAAACAATTCCATTTGAAGTAAGGGTCTGTATCTGCCTATCCTTTCTTGATATTTCCGACTTCAAGGCCTCCACACATTTCTTCAATCTGTCATTCTCCTTGAAAAGAATAGAATGAATGAATGAATGAATGAATGAATGAATGAATGAATGAATGAATGAATGAATGAATGATGAATGAATGAATGAATGAATGAATGGATGGATAAATTTTTACTTGTTTTAAAAGCTTGATCTCTTCTGAGTGTTGACAATTGAGATGACTCAACTTTTTATAATCACTACTACAACTACTATTATTATTATTATTATTATCATTACTATTATTATTATTATTATTGTTGTTGTTGTTGTTGATGTTGTTCGCTTCCTCTTCACATGATTCTTGATGCTTTTAATGGAGAAAAATAGTTTTCAGATTGAATGAAAAAATGTTTTGAAAAAATAAATAATAGAAAGAAGGATTGAGATAGAAGATGAAGTGGAAAAAATAAAAAAGAATGAAAACGGAAATTAAAAAAAAACCCATCAATCTAGCTAGCCTCATGAGCCAAAAGTTCCTTGAGACACAAAAGTGAATGCTTAACATGATGCAATTCTGAGAGCAGAGATTCATTGCCAGGCATGGAGGCATACGAAATCTCACAATCAGTGTTGTTGTTGTTGTTGATGATGTGGCCAACATTGTTGTTGTTGTTGCAGTTGCTGTTGTTGTTGTTGTTGCTGTAGCTGTTGTTGTTGTATCTAGAAGTGTTGAAAGATTTTCTGCAGATTATAAAAATGTTGTTGTTGTTGTGATTGTTGATGTCATTGTTAGCCAAATCAAAATTAGTGCAATTAATGTCACTGAAATTGATATTGTCCTTTCCAAATGATGCAGTATCAAGATTATTATTATTATTATCATTAGTATTATAGTTGTTGTCTATATCATCATCATCATCACCATCAACATCATCATTATCGGTAATAATTCTTTCCATATCTTCATCACAATTATTATTACTATTACTATTATTATTATTGATATTATTATTATCATTATTATATTTTTTATAAAAATATGCAAAACTTAAATTTGAAACTATCAAATAGTGGATAACTTTATCCAGACACATTTTTCTCATAGCAGATTAAAAAAAATAAAGAGATTAATTAAAAAATTTAAACAAATTTATTGGAATAAATAAAATAATTAAATCAATTAATTAATTAGCTGATTAAACAATCAATCAACTAGAAACTTAAAAATTTAAATCCAAATTAAATTTTACACAGATATATAGCCCGCGAATTTTACACTATAAATACATTATATAACTACAAAAATATATATACACACACATAAACACCAACATACATACACGCATACACACACGCATATACACACATACATACACAAACTTATGTTTCTGTGTGTACAATATTAACTTGAATCAAATCAATTTCATTTAACAAACAACTTTAACCTATTGTTCAGCTTATGTTCCCTTTGTTTGCATACTTGTTGTATATTTTTTGTATATATACTAATGTATGTGTAAGAGTGTGTGCATTTGTGTGTGTGTGTGCTTTTGTATGCGTGTGCCTATTTGTTAGTATACATGTGGTACATTTGTTGTATATGTACTAATGTATAGATATTATGTATGTGTGTGTGTGTGTGTGTGTGTGTGTGTGTGTGTGTGTGTGTGTGTGCTTTTTGCATGTGGGTGCCTGTACAAATGACTTTGTAGAGGAGTCATGTTCACTCTCAAAATAGTATTATTACATTATTATTTATTATTATTATTACTATTATTATTATTGTTATTATTGAACATTTCAATGGTGGCTGCATTGTTGTGCTATGTGAGGTATGTTGGGAATCATCATCATCAACATCATTATTATTATTTTTATTATTATTGTTATTAGACTTATGTTGATTCTCTACTATGTAGACTGCCTGTATGTTTGTGTGTGTGTGTTTGTGTGTGTGTGCATGAATATTATTATTATTGGAATATTCGTATGACATCTTTTACTAAATGTACACTAATCAGGATGATATAATGAGCTGCCAAATTAATCAGCCAAAGCTGGCCAATGAATAATTATAATTATTACAAGAGATAGTTTTAAATTTATAACCCCAAGACACCTCTATCTATTTTTGGCTTTATTTCATTTAGTGTTAATTAATTAATTAATTAATTAATCACTTACTAATTATAACTAAGTAGTTAAATAATTTGATTATTTTATTTTGTGATGAATGTTAAGATATATTGATCTAGAAAAGCTATAAAATCCTGTATAAAAGTTTTTTTTTAAAGAAAATAAATATTGACAGCCATTTCGCCATTTCATATTTTAATCTTCTGTATATATATATATATATATATATATATATATATATATATATATATATATATATATATATATATATATATATAAATATATATATATACATATATATATATATATATATATATATATATATATATATATATATATATATATATGATAAATAAACAAGAACAACATTTACCAAAAAGACTTTACAATTTTTCAAACAATCCTACAACATACCTTAGATTTTTACTAGGTGTTCTCTTTTTAGCATGAGATGAATTCTGTCTGTGACTATTAGTTGAACTTCTCAATGATAAGCAATCAGAAGCTCTGTCACTCAGATTCGAAATTTCAGAACCAGACCTGTTAAACTGGCCAACCGAAAATCTATTAGCATAGTTGTTGCTGTATGTGTTGTTATATATGTTACTGTTACTATTGTTGATGTTGTTGCTTGGGCCATTGATTGTTGTAGAGATGTGCTGGGAGGCATTGGATCGACTTCTGTTCATTCGTTGAGCATTGGTCGGTGTGTGATAAACTTTATTCTGAAAGTTAGTACCGGTGTTCGTGTTTCTGTCGATGTTTAGTGCTGCTGACGTTATGTTACTATTTACAGGCTGTTTGGCGGGGTCTGTTTTGCTCTGAGATAAAAGAGACACTGACAAAATATTTTTATTATTAAGAGAGGAATTTTTCATTTCACCCCCAGAGGTACTTGTGAATGTTGCATTGTTTGAACTACTGTTGTTGTTTTTATTGTTAACTTTTAAACTAGAGTAAGAAGCATCACTTGTCGTTATTGTACTGTTAAGATTTGACTTGTTGAACCTACCTGCTGGTACTGCTGACTGGATTCTGTTGTTGTTTCTGCTGTTGTTGGTCGTCGGTTTGTTGCTGTTGTTGGGCATTATTTTAGATTTTAAAACATTATTTACGTTTACGTGATTAGGCAACTGTTCACTCATAGGGACTCGTCTGTCAATATTATTATTATTATTATTACTAACCGGAGCCGTACTTACACTGACGTTCAAGTTGTTATTGTTGACATCATTATCATTATTACCATTATTATTAGTTTTCCCTACCAGACCAAGTATAGAAACGGTTGGCGCTTTGGTGGTTTTAGAGTTGAAACCGAAACTAAAACTTTTATTCTCCTTCTTATTCATGAGTTACACGTCAGAAACAAGATATATACTCTAAAAATATATTAAAAACACTACTTAAATTATAAAATAAAATCAATTAACATTTCAGCGAAAATGAGATGAGTCAGGAATGGTTTAAAAGTAAAGTGTAGTTACAAACTTTAAGATGTCAATCGTTACGTTACGTGCATTTTTCCATCGTAATACGAGAAGCAGATGACGGAGAAATAGTTAACATACATAGCTATACAGATGATGACCAAGCATCGCGAAGTTAATCTATACGGTACAACACTAACAGCATTATATTCACGTAAACAGCTTAACTGTAGAGTAATAAAAATTTGATTCCGACTACGAAAATTTTTAGCGCATCTCTCCGCGACGACATCACGAATACGAATACACCACTTCAAACAACATCAAAACCAGCAAGCAAGAATAAAAAATTTTATTTGTCATAACAAAAGAGATAATTTAAACAGTTCATAAGCTTGTTTTCTGCTTTTTGAGGTTGTTTTCGTAAGCTCTTCTTTTGTTAGCTAGTGTCAAGGCCTGCAAGTGAAAAAATTCCAGCTTATGCTTTATAATTAAAAACTCGGATGAACAAACGTAATAAATAAATAAAATAGTAAAAAAAACAAAAACATCTTTAAAGATTCACTGCTAGTAGCAATTGATAAGAACGCAATCAACGTTGAACATTTAAATTGAATTAGTGAATGAAGGGGAACCTCCTGAGTTCTCTTCTTATTCAAATGTTTGATTTTGTTGTAGAGTCTCTTGTTCTTTTTTGGAATGGCCATTTCCGCGAGTTTTCTCTCTTCGTTCTTCTGTTCCATCATCTTCTGTGCTTGCCTTATCTTCAACACCTTACCTTCAGACACAGTCTGTTGAAATGGCATGAAAATTCAGAAATTAATTTACAATTGTAACATGAATGAATGAGGCTACACAAAACAAACAAGAGTCTAAGAACAAAAAAAGGTAGAACATTCATTAGTAAGAAAGTTTCGAACAAACCGTTTCAGGTTTTGGTTTCTCTTGAGTCAGTTTTCGCTTCCCTGATGGATTCTTTGCTTTCTCAGGCTGGTCTGAACTCTCAGTATCAATACTTCTTGTGGCTATTGTTGAATCTGGCAACGTGCAATTTTAACGAAAAACTATTCAATTTTAAATTTTTAGTAATTTTAAATTTCCGTCAACTAAATATCCCCCCCCCAAAGTTAATTGAATACAAAATTTTCATGAAATTTCAAAAAGATCATTACAAAAAACTAACATCGCAAAAACAACAACCAAACAACCACCTAACCAACCAACCAATCATCCAACCAACCAATCATCCAACCAACCCATCAATTTAAGTTTTTCAGGTGGTATGTAGTCGCCCTCCTGTTCCTCGACGAATGGTGAGAGATGTGGTGGAAGGGTGGCTCCAGGGAGATAATCTTTCGTGGGTAGGATGGTTCGGGTGTTGAGGCAGTCCACGACCCACTGTGGTTGAATGTACTGTCTGTTTGGAAAAAAAAAATTTCTATGTAGGAGGAGTTAACTTAAGCAGTTGATTTTTTTTTGTTAGTCTAAGAAGCAACAAAAAGTAACATAGCCAATAGGTAATGACATTTTTCAACTTTTGATCTTATTTTCAAACCAAAAAAAGACTGGCAAACGAAAAGGTTAAGAACAAAAACCTGTTCAGTAGATTATTCTTGACATTTGTCCTATCAACGACTTGATGTGTGATGGATTCATCGTCACAATCATATGTGGCCCCAATTGGGAAGCCAGTTTTGCACCAAGATACTTCTCCACCACACGCTCTGTCATTCATTCATACATTTATTTATTCACTGAGTTGCTCTTTCATTCAATCACTTAATCGATTAAAATATTTATTAATTCATTCATTCGACCATTCATTCATTTGTTCGTTTTTTCGCTCTATCCATTTGTTTAATTCGTTTCTTTTTCCATTTATATCTTCATTCAAATCAATCTTTTATCTCTTCTACCATACATTCACCCTTTTGCTCTAACACGCCATCATTCATTCATTCCAACATTCATCCATTCAATGAGTATTCAATTCAATTATTCAATTCATTGATCTAAAAGAAGAAAAAAAGCCCCAAATAAAACCTGATGACAAACGTGAACGTTTCCCTGTCAACTTCCCGATTGAGGAAGAATTTAAATTTGGAAAATAAATTCGCCAACTTTTCCACCTCAGCCTGCATGGCTTCTCTGGAGTTACCATCATTCTAAATTTTAGCATTAAATGTAATGTCATAAATGCCATTGGTTAATGTCTGTCCAACTACTTACACCCATTCTAAATTGATGTAATGATGTAATGTCACTAATGCTACTGGCTAATGTCTGTCTAGGTACTTACTACCATCCTAAACTATGGCACTGATGTGATATTGTTAGCAGCATTGCGATGAATGGATGCATTGTTGAATGAATTGATGAATTAATGAATGGTTTTTTAATTTAGCGGCATTGTGATGTTTGCTGTCTTTATCAAAACAGCCCTAATAATAATCTTATGGAAACTATTTCATCTGGAAAAATAATTATGTTAGTAGTACCGTTATAATTAAATTTATTATAATTAATATTATTGAAAGTCATATTATTATTATTGTTATTGCTATTATTATTTATTATTATTATTATTGTTATTAATATTAATGCACTACTTATATTCTTCATATGATATACATTTCTTAAATAAATAATTTAAAAACGACAATGATAATGATAATAATAATAATGAAAACTATTTAGCTACCTCAAATTTATCCATAATTATTTCATAATTGTCTGCTCTCATCTCTGTGGTGAGAGATGCTAGGATCTAAAGAGAGAGAGAGAGAAAGAAAATTTCCATAAATAATAAAAAATTATTTCAGATATACAGACAAATAAATAATTAATATAATTATCTAAAAAATTTGAAAAAAACATTTATAAATAAAAGATTAAATTTCTTTATTATGATATAATTATAATATAAATACAATAATATAAATATATTATAATAGTTACCTCTGTAGCTAGATCATGCTTGGAACAGACCTCAGTCGTATCTTCGGACTCATAATCCTCACTGCACCTGCACTCAATTTATTATGAAATAATTTCATAAAGTAATATCATTAATAATTGAAAAATATAAATTATTAATGCTTATAATATAAATTATTAATGTTTATAATATGAAATTTAAATTCATAATAATAATAAACATTTAAATAGTAATACATTCAATCAACAATGAAAGTCACTTGAAAAACAAAATAAATCTCTCTCAGTAAAGACCTGTGGTGGGTAATGCAGTTCGAGGGATTTGTATAGGGCAAAGTTAACGAACCCCAGCAGGATGCACGAGAACTGGGCAAAAGTTGACATAATCCTGTAGTCGACGTTGACTGGATGCTATTTTTAGAAACGTAGAAATGATTAAAAGTGAATTTTACTATTATTATTGTTACTAACAATATTGTAGATAATGACAGTAATAGAACTAGTGCATTGAACTACACTTCAGCAAACAACAAAATGAAATACGAAAATAAAATGATACAATGACAGAAAACATACAAAGCATTTTTTGATTAGAACTCACACACACCATACTATAAAAATATTCAAAGATAGTACACAAAAACATTGAATAACAAAACAATACAAAAAATACAATTCAAACAAAACAATAAACTTTCCCACCACATATGCCAAAAATACAAACAAATAAACAACGAATACAGATGAAAAATACAAAATACAAAAAGAAAAAACCAATTCCAGAAAAATACCTACAGTATAAGCAACATTGTGAGGACTGAGCCAGGTTACGATCTGACCCATGACCTCGACCTGAAAGTAGATGCCCTTAATGGAGATGAATACCTGGTATTTAAGGCATTGGTGGTGTCATATTTTAATTTGTAAAACTTTTATTGCTACAAATATCTGGTATCTATATTAATTGTGATAATTGAAGGTAATTATGGTAATAATTAGAAGTAATTATGGTAATAATTAGAAGTAATTATGGTAATAATTACGGGTTAAATAAAAGTTTTTTTTTCAAAAATTAGAAAAAACCTTTCTTAGGGATCGAGATGCTATGACATAGTTCATGAATTCCACTGGGGAAAAAAGAATACCAATAAGAAGAATAATAATAAGAATACCAACATTGAGTTTAAAAAACTTTTTCACGAAAACAACAAACGTGTTCACACAACGAACAAGTTCACACAGCAAGCACGTTCACCACTAACCAGCAACAAAAAAAACAAAAAAAGCATAAACCACAACAAAAACCACATCACATCAATGAAAAAACATCAACAACAACACTAACACTACCAACAACATCACCATTAGAAAACAGACAAACAAGCAGACAAACAAACAGACGGACAAACAAACAGACAAACAGACAGACAAACAAGCAAACAAACAGACAAACAGGCAGACAAACAAACAAACAAGGGTCTCAAATACCTGTCAGTCTTCTGCAGAGTTTGATTTGTTCGGCGTGTACCTTCTTATTTTTGGGCATTTTAGAGAATAGGAAGCAGAGGGAGAGGGCATCATCCAGATCCCTGATGGCATCAACTAAGGTGGGATACCTAGAAAAAAAATTTATTAAAAAAAATTATGATATTCATTATTATTATTAATTACTAATAATTATCATTACCTCTTCAAGGATGATCATCCCCATCATCATTATCATCATCCCCATCATTATTATCATTATCACCATCATCATCATCATCCCCATTATCATCACCATCATCATCATCCCCATCATTATTATCGTCATTATCATCACCTTCATCATCATTATCATCATCATCATCACCTCTCTTTTACAATATGGTCTAGTGTAAGTTCTGGTTTCCTGTTTCTCAGCCTCTGTTCTCGGTGCACGTCCTTCTTGTCAACCGCCCGCTTCAATTTTCTTACAAAAATCTTCGAAAGGAGAGAAAGAATAGGAAAAGATGTTTATTTAATCAATCAGAAACATGATCAGCAAGCCATTGAATCAAATCTCTCATTAGTTTATAGCACCTCAAATGAATTTTCAAACTTCTCATTAAGTTGTACAACCATTTGTTTGGTTATGAGAAGAAATTTCGACAAAAATAAAAACAGAACCACAGAGTTAAACAACCATGTGTCATATACATAGCGCTAAAAATACATAGACAAAAAACAATTTTGTACTTTGTATTGTCTGAATTTTTTTATAATTGGTTCGTGCATGACGAATTGGATGTCTTTGGTTAGGTAGTAGGTCGTCGGCGCCGTGCTTCCCTTGCCTGCTTTTTTGGGGTGCCGCGGTTCTTGGGGGTAGATCCCTTTTAATATACATAATTTTCTGTAAAAAAAATTTTATTTTCTTTAAATTTTTGAAAACTACAAAAAACAACATAACAACAAGATAATGATAGAATAATTATTGAATAGAACATATCAAAATAATAATTATAATTATTATTAAATTATTAATATTACTATTATTATAATGAATTATAATAAATGTTACTACTATGAGAGTGTTAGTAATAAAAGAGAAAAAGACTAAAAAAAATAATCAAAAATATTCATTTGATGTTAAAATGGAAAAAAATTAAAACAAAAAAAGATAATAAAATAAAATGATTAATAACAACTGATAACTACCGAAAGTCAGATAAGCTTAGTTGCAACTTTTTCAATGCTCTCCCTCTAGACATGAATGCCACGGCGGCTCCAGCTTCGTGCTAACGTTCAAAATTATGGTCAACTAATTAATATTTTCATGATTAATTGATTGAAATGATTGAGATTATAATTAATCATTTAATATAGATTTTATTATAAAACATTATTAATCTATTACTAATATAAAATAAATTAAAAATTAAAGGTTAATTATTAAACTAAAAAAAAATATTCGTTAATAATTTTAATTTATGGCCAGTGCCAATCAAACCAAACAAACAACCACTCAATCAAAATCAAACAAACAACCAATCAAACAATCAATCAATCAAACAACCAAACAAACAATCAAGCAAACAACCAATGAACAATCATCCAGATCAGAAAGAGGGAAGACAGCCTACTCAACTACAAGTAACACTACAAGAATGCTACCTAAAATTAAACGATTTAACAAACAAATTCAACAAATGAAGAATTCTACCTTTCGTTTTCTGTTGACCATTTTTCAGGATTCGTTAAGTTTGGAGAAAAAATTTGTCAAAACGAAAAAACAAAACCACGCGGTTATCTAAAATTGTTAAAGAAATGTGAATCTGGTAACGTAAGATTATTTTTTTTTTTCGTAGCGCTTCATCAATGCTTCTTTAAAAACTGCTTCATTTTAAAGGTCTAAAAGGTTTAGACGATAAAAGTTAACTTTGAAAAATGAAAACGTGCATCATATGTATTATTTCCCATGTTTGTGAAACAAATCATATTCAATAAAATTAATCAATCTGTTTATCAGCTTGCAGCTTGTTTTGTATTGTAGACTTCATGATGAATGAAAAGAGAATGGTATTCATAAACTCAAAAATACCAGAGGCGTCATTTGGGGGGAGGCAAGAAAAATTATAAAATATTAAAATTATAAATTATAAAAGTGTTAATTCTAAATTCTTTGTAAAAAGGATATATATAGGATATATAATTTAGTAATTTCAAAACTTTAAAAATTTTGAAATTTTAAAAACTTTTAAAATGTAAAATTTATTATAATGTTGCACTGACGAGACTAGGTAGTGGAAATAGTACCCTACTATATGCGTACATGTAGATAATAACATCTTCTGTAAATAGGAATTTTGTTAACAGCATTAACAAGTTAAGTTTAGTAGATCGGAGAATTATTCGAAGAATCGAGAAACTATCATATAGATTGAGTACTGTAAGAAACGCCGTGATCTTTATTAATATATTTATATATATATATATATATATATATATATATATATATATATATATATATATATATATATATATATATATATGTTACATGCTAAGTCATAGACCACATAAGTTCGCCCCCCCAACCAAAATCTGAAATGACGCCCCTGAAAAATACACTTTAAAAATTGATTTAAAAACATTCAACCTTTACCTGATATAAATGAAACACATTTTGTAACAGATGTTTAAACCCGCAATCATATTCTGTTAACAAATCTTAGACAATCGTCGTTTTAAAAGTGTTGTTTCATTTTCATTCAACCATGGATGTATGTGCATTCAACTAATATACTTACTTAGTCTGATATTGACGAGTATCAAACTCCTCTCAAGTACCATTTTAATGAACTATAATGCTGATTGTACTGAATAAATATTTTACTTGCCTTTTTCATGGATATATTTCTATTACCAAGCACAAAACTTTAATGACGTATCACTGACGTCATTCCAATTAATTATTATCTCTCATTAAGGCACATGTAAAAAAATCAATCAGACAAAACGTTTTAAAAGTGTGCAAAACGTAGTTCCTTAACACGGTGAAGAATAAAAAGAAAGATTTAAATATTATTAGCCAGGGTAGAATTTCTAATTCAATTGCATATTGGCTATTACATATTACAATTAAAAAGAGATTCGAATATCCATGGATTCGTATAACGTATTACCATGGGCTTGAAGATTTATTTTTATCAATTGTCTTGGTTTTATTGTTTGGTTAAGTTTCCTATTGCCTTGTTAATGCTATTGTTGTTGCTACTATTACTATCAATTTTTATTAATAATATTGTTGATGATGTTATTATTATTATTATCATTGTTGATGTTGTTGTTGTTATTTTTTATTGTTTATTAGTTGTTTGTGTTATTACCATTGTCATTGTTATTGCTGTCTCCAGAGTTGTGTGTGTGCGTGCGTGTGTGTGCGTGCGTGTGTGTGCGTGCGTGTGTGTGTGTAAATGTGTGTGCACAAACGCTATATTATTGCTTTAGCTATTGTGTTGAAATCTATTAAAGAAGCAACAAGTATAGGATCTTTAACAATGTTGACATTTTTTGTGACTGCATAATCTTATTAACGTGCTAACATATGCGTTTTAATTTCCGAAAAATGAAAAATATTGTATCAGTATTTAATTATTTTAGCAATAAACCTCTTATTGTTTTGATTTTATAATTATAAAATGTTTAAGAAAAAAGCTGTGAGTTTAAATGGGTTGATTTGTCTCGTCGTCGGAGTTAGCAATAGAGGTGTTGGGAAAGGAATAGCTAAGCAATTGGTGAAAGCCGGAGCGACGGTTTATATAACTAGTTAGAAGTTATTTGGAAAATTTGTTCAAATTTATTATGAAAAGATTCAAATATATTATGAAAAGATTCAAATATATTATGAAACGTTTGAATGTTATAAAAAATGTTATAAAATTATTTATCCTTTATCTTTATTTTGTCTGTTTTTCACTGTACAGTACATGTGTCTGCCCGTCTGTCTGTCTGTCTGTCTCTCTCTCTCTCTCTCTCTCTCTCTCTCTCTCTCTCTCTCTCTCTCTCTCTATTTCATCACCTTCTGTGTTTGTGTGTTTTCTTTCTTTTTCTTTAGTAGAAACCCATTATTATTGATTAAATTTATACAGAGGAGATCGCAATAAACATTATCGATTTAGAAAATCTTTCTTAGGTGGAACTCGTCAGACGGATGAAAACAGTGAAGAATCTTACTTACAGAGTATCGCTAAAGAGGTTTGAAACATTTTTTCTTCGTTTAAAAAGCAAGTTAAACATTAAAACTTAATGTTTTTATTAAGCAAATAAACGTACAGACGAACGAGTGAATGAACGCTCGAACGAACAAATAAATTAACAAATACAAATAATACATCTCCAAATAAACTAATCACCACCCAACAAATCATTCAAGATTGACTCAAAGTCTAACAAATGCCTGGCCATACAATGCGATTTTTCGTCCTACAGAGATATCCGAAACTTGTTTGAGAGGATAGATTTAGAGCAGGATGGGCAACTTGATGTTCTAGTCAACAATAATTATGCGGCCGTTCAAGTTGGATAAAAATTACTTTACCAACTTAAATCATTTAAATTATTGTACAAAGGATTCTATTATCAATAACTTCTCATTTGAAATATATTTCAACATAAATTTTATTTTTGTCTCTTTTTTTCTCTTAACTCTCAGTTAAATGTAGCAACAACACACACACACGCACGCACACACACATACACGCACACAGCGAATGTGATTGAATTCGAATCCAGTCACTGCAAAAGCAGAACCAGGCGTCTTAACCACTAAGCTATCGCGCCGCCCAAGTTTGAACTTTTATTTTCGCAGATTCCGGAGGAAAAGTTGTGCAAATCATTCTGGGAGCATCCGGTAGAACTCTGGGATGCCGTTAACAACGTCGCATTAAGGTGTGGTATCTTTTACAAAATTTTAAAAATGTTTTAAAATTTTCAAAGGTTGTCAAACAAAAAATGATAACAATTGATGACTTTGGTAACTTTACTGTTTTATTTTATTATCCCTTTTATTATATGTTAATATCTTTCCTAAATTGAACAAGGACAAAACAAAAAGGGGAATCACGTGAGATTTTAACCCCTTTTCCCTTGTGACAAACTGTCAAATTTTTGGGCTCACCCCTCTTAAAGTGTGACATTCTTTATGGGTAGCACCTATACTTATAATCATTTTAATTTGCAAAGCTGATTTGGGTGCACTCGTTCCTTATAAACCTATTTGATTGATTGGTTGATTGATAAATAGATTGATGGATAGATTGGTTGAATGAATGATTGATTGATTGAAGAAACCACTACTTATGCAATGCACGAGCGGCCAAATTGATGGTAACGAGGAAGAGGGGCCTCTTAATAAACATTTCATCAAGTGGCAATGTCAAGGACGCCGATAACTTGGCTATCAACGTTCGTAAAGAAATTGTTAGTACATAACTTTGTTAGAAAATTTTAAAAAATTCCAGGGTGAAACATTTTTTTTCTTCATATTCTATAGCTTAGCAAAGTCTTAAGTTTGTGATCAATACGACTATATATGTACTTGTAAAGTTCTCATTTGAAACAACTTTTTCTAACAGCTATAAATGAAAAAAAATATTAATTCACAATGTAAATCGGTTTCATATTGGTCTTTCGAAACCAAATTTCAAACAAAATTTCCACAAAAACACCATCAAACGATAGTGCGACAAATTGTCGGTCAGTTTGGCCAGAGAACTTCAAAAACACAACGTCTGCTGCGTTAGTTTGTGTCCAGGCGTCGTCAGAATGGAACTCATTGAGAGAATGTACATTGCCGAGTTTGAAAGATATGAATCTAACTGTAAGGCAACCAAAAAATTGGTTTGTTGTCTGGAAAACTTTTATAATTATTATAAAAAGAAAATTTTTAAATGTTAATTATGGTAAAATTTTTATAATTATTATATAACAGTTATATATTATATATATTATACATTATAATAGTTATATAACTGTAATAAAGAAAAATGAATGGGTAAAATAAAATTAAGGAGTTGATGCTGACTGGAGCAGAGAGCAGTCAGTTCACGGGAATCGCCGTTGTCCATTTAGCATCTGGTATTTTATTTGTCTCTGTTCATTTAATTTTTCGTTTGATTTTCTTTCTCCGTTGAATTTATGTCACCTGAAGATTTTTAAAACTTTTGCAAAGAAGTAGGAATGATGATTATGATCATTCCTTATTTCCGAGAGATAGCGATTTGGGAGAGAGAGAAAGAGATAAGTATGGAACGAGACTGTCATTTATATTGTTGCTTTACAATGTCTGTTGTTGCTTTACACTGTCTGTAGAACATTTACACATTTATATCTGTAGAACATTAAATCCTCGTGTATTAACCTCGCATATCCATGGTATCAACAAAACCATCAGTCGAATTTGATGAAGCGTGATTTAATTGTCCTTTTTGAAATTGGTTTTGTTAAAATTACTTCTAATTGTTTTGTTTTATTTATTTATTTTATTTTAAGTAGTTTATTGTCTGCTTCATTTAAGCAATATTTCAATTATTTTGACACATTACGGGAAAAAAACTCATTCTATATGAAGTAATAATTTCGATTCGAAATAATTTCCAATAGAAAAATCATTCATTCGCCGATCACACACAGACAAATCGGTGATGAGAAAATCGGGCCAAGTTTTACTGACGACTGACTTGGCAAAAGAATACGGATTCAAAGATATTGATGGTTTGGCATTTAAAAAACTTTAAAACCACTGTTATTACCATTATTATGATTGATATTACCATTATTATAATCGATTTATGTCCTCAGATCAATTGCCAGCGGATTTCAGATCAATATCCTTCCTATTAAAGATTCACGGTTGGCCTTGGTTGGCTATGTTCATTCCGTCGTTTGTCAAAGTACCACAATGGCTCATGACATTTTTTGGATATAACGTTTGATTTACTTTTAAACTGTTTATTAATATACTTATGTCTATTACTAAATTATATGAAATTGTATTTTATATTCATCAGTCTATATAGCATTATTGACCATCCTTTTTTTCTTCCTTATTCAACTTTCTTTGATAATAATTTTATTTGAGCCCATTTATAAATTTTAAAATTGAGTTAGGTGACTGATATAACTTTTTATTTCTTCAAACAAATTTCTAAGAAATAGTATTATCATTATTTGGCGTGGAATGGTTTTATATTGACATACGTCTAATATACAATATAAGCGTTTTGTCTTTTTCATGTCAGAGAATTTCATTTTGACAAGGATATGAGCATTTGGAATTAGAGCCTTAATTCTCAATCCTTTGATTATCATTTCAGTTGTCATTTACAACAATCCAATTTCGCTACTGAAGTCTGAATGAATAAAAAATAAGCAAACAAATTAGCGTTGAAAAATTTCATTTAATCATTAAACACATCTCTTGTAATACAAAAATTCAACAAAAAATTAAATGTTTTAGTGAAAGATAAAGAAATATTAAATAACCATTGCACATAAAGAGACTTTACTGTTGCATTTCTTTTGCTTCAGTCTTTTCTGAGATGTAGGATTGTCCTAGACCGCTGTCGAATGATTCATCATGTGCATGTTTTTTCAAGTGCATGTCTAAATATCTGTCACCGATGAATGATTCATTGCATGCGTTTTGTATGCACGTTATCATGTCGGCGTGTGTTTCACTGTGAATTAATAAAATATCCATGTTTGAGAAACGTTCATTGCAAATTTTACAGTTTATGTTTGTTGCATTCGTTTGTTCTTCATTGCAAAACAAGTTGTCCTCTGAACAATAATTTGATAGTTCACTTTCATCCACGTATGGAAGATCTAAAATTGTAATTTCCTCATGTTTAGTAGCCCCATGGTCGTCTGCATCTTCTTTTACAATTGTCACACCAGTAGCTGTAACCATCATCTCCTCACACTTCACCGAAACTTTATTCAATTTTAGCTTTTCATCTCCAAATAATTCGTCCTTCTGTGCCGATAATTTTTTAAACTCCACCAAGTTACAATCATCATTTTTTCCATTTGAAATCAGGTAATTGCAAGCTTCTACATCTTCAAATTTTACCAGCCCGTTGTTTTCAATGACCACTCTGGGTGGAGTGTTTCTCCTAAATATCTTGAAAATTATAAGCAAAATGAAATATGAAAAATATATTATTTATAATAAATAAAAATATTTTTCACATACAACAAATAAAACACACCATACCAAGGCATGGTGGTGACCTTGACATTTCATTATCTTATATTGTATTTTTTAAATGAATGATTGGACCCCAAATATACAAAATAAAATGTAGATAACATCAAAGTTTTTAGGCCTTCCTTGCACCATATAATATAGATAGAGTTCAGTTATGAATACAGTTTTTGAAAAATATTCAAATGAAATACAAAAACACAAACATCGTTAACTTGCTCCGGTTGGTGAGCATCATCATTATCAAATATAATTCTCCCCATGTTCAAAGCCAAAGTGGGAAGAGTTTTGTTTGGCTTTGAAGTAGGTGTGAGAGATTCTAAACTAGTCGAATTATAGGGCTTCAGTTCAAAATTATCACAAATGGTTTCAATTGTGATTGATTCAGTGTTTTCAGTCTGAAATGCTTGACGATTGGATAAATTTTTTTCAATCTGATGATAAGATACATTAAGAAAGTTTTTAATAAGATCATATAAATTGTAATATGAAGGTTGAAATAATTCTTTAAAAACAACTGTATCTATTGAAAAAACAAAAAGTATAAAAAAATAGTTGTACTTTTGTCATGAACAAATCTTTTGATAAAATTGTAGATGACTTGCTGTTAAATTGTTTCTGACCAATATCTTGTTTCCCTTCTTCTTTAAGTTTTTTTTTAGGGCGACCCCAACGTTGATTGGCTGATTTAGTAGTCTTATATTTAGATCTAGACACATTATTATCACACTCTTCCCCTTTCAAGGAACCAGTTTCACGTTTCTGTCTGTAATTTTTCAAATATAAGAGACGAGATTTTCTCTGCTCAGCTGTCTCTGAGAGCCGATATTCTCGCATATATAACAGACGAGCTTCACGTTCCTCATAAGTTTCTGCCTCTCTATACTTTTTTAAATACAAAAGACGACTCTCACGTTCTTCAGAAGTTTCCTTTTGACGATAGTCTCGCATATATGAGAGGCGGGCTTTACGCTGTTCCATAGTTTCTTTTTCACGGTAGTTACGCTGATATGACAAACGAGCTTCACGTTGATCGGCCGTTTCTCTCAGACGACACTCACGCAATCGCAAAAGACGTGCTTCACGCTCCTCTGGCGTTTCTATGTGTTGTCTTTTTTTTGGATTTTTTCGTTTGCCCTCGTTTTTTTTATCATAATAGGCATCATTGCAATCCATTTGACAATCTGCTTGTTACTTGAACCTGCTGGTTGATGAAAATGAAAAGATGGCCTGCCCCAGTTACTGGCTGGTTAGTTGATTATTAGTAAATATTCTTAATTAGTTGGTTGGTGTTGTTTTTGTATAAGAGAAAAAAATTGTCAATTCCACATAATAATTGATTGTTGTAAAAAAAATAGTAAAATACTCTATCTTTTATCTAGTAAAATTGTTGTTACAATAAAACAGAAATTAAATATAAGGATAGACGAACAAAATAATATCAATTAACAAGAATTACAAATTAAGAAGTAACAAAAAGGGTAGCATGAACATTTTATGGTTAAAAGTTAATTTAGGTTCTAAATGCATGCAGCAGAAAGTGGCATTTAAATTAAAAAAAGTTTCACACATGATTACATGAATTGAAATAAAACTAAAACAATCAAAATTATAGAACCGAAATTTAAAATTTGTGAAAACGTTTTTATTTATAAGAATGAATGATTTAAAAAAGGAATAAACAGTTTAAAACGTCGAAAAAGCAATTTTAGAAAGTCTGTTTGCCCTTTAGTATTTTAAAGGTATGGGCGGCCCTGGCCCCAAGCTATATTTACATTTACTTTTAAAACTGCTTTCTTAATGACTTAATGTGACCCAAAAATTAACACTCCAGTTTGAACTTCTCACTAAAGTTTTGGAGTGTTGCGGACGAATTAATTAAATTTTAAAGGTTATGAGTTATAACTTAATGCCAGAACATTCACAAATATAATTTTCGTTTTAAAAATGTCCTCCAAAAAAGTTGATTTAAGTGGTAAGGTGTGTCTTGTGACAGGTGCCAGCAGAGGGATCGGCAAAGGAATCGCACTGCAGTTGGCAAAGGCCGGGGCAATCGTTTATATTACCGGTTTTTTAATTTTAATTTTTTTTTAGAATATACTTTAATCAAATTCTTCAAATTTTATCATGTGCCATGTTCCAATGAAAATGGTTTCATTGATGAGTATTTTATTAATATTATAATAAAAAATTATTATAATTATTTAATTATTTTAGGTCATTCATAAATTCATAAATAATGGAATACAAATTTTATTAACAGGAAGAACATTGGACAAGAAATCAAGCAAAGATGTCGGTTCTTTGAGGGATACTGCTAAAGAAGTTACTAAATTTTTATCAGATAAATTTTTGTTTAATGTTTGATATTAAAATTTGTGCATTTGTATGTGATAGTGCGTATGTATTATTGCGTATTTGTGTGTGTTAGTGTGAGTGTGTGCATGTGTGTGTGTGTGTAAAAGCACCATAAATGCCATTTTTTTTTATTAGGTTGAGGCCCAAGCAGGCAGATGCATACCTGTACAGTGTGACCATTCGAAAGATTCGGACATAAAAAATTTGTTTGATCGCATCGAGAAAGAACAAAATGGGCAGTTGGATGTCCTCGTTAATAATGCTTATTCGGCTGTAAATGTAATGAAAGGTTTTTTTTTTCATTCATAAATGTTGAATATTTTTATATTATTATGAATTTATTTTATTTTAATTATTATTTAAAGAGTATTTTGTTTTTCTATGTTGAATATTTCTATATTATTATGAATTTATTGTATTTTAATTAGTCTTTTCACTGAATTTTTTTTACTTATCCTGGTGCTATTATTATTATTATTATTATTATTATTACAGAACTATTATTATAGTTCTCAGTTGTTTTGTTATTCTTGTTGTTATTAAAATTTTGATTTTTTATTTATTTAGGTCTTAGCTGAAAATCGGGGCAAGGCCTTCTGGGAGCAGCCAATAGGAGTTTGGGACGACGTAAATAATGTGGGACTCAGGTGAAATATATTTAATTTTTTTAAAAAAAGATCATTCATTTTTGTTTGTGTTATTATTTTATTATATCATTTGGTCAGAAACCATTACATCTGCACTGTGTACGCAGCGAAAATGATGGTGCCTCGTAAAAAAGGCCTGATTGTGAATATTTCCTCTGGCGGGGGGCTCAGGTACGTCTTTAATGTGGCCTATGGGATTGGAAAGGAAGCTGTAGGTTTTATTTTTTTCATTTTTTTTGGTGCGTGTTGGTTGTATGATTGGTTGAGAGTATGATTCATTGAGAGTATGATTCATTGCTTGAATGATTGGTTAATTGTGTGATTAGGATTAGATAAATCAATCAACCACACAACCAACCTGCAGTGTGATAGAATGGCTGTTGACTGTGGGATAGAGTTGAGAGAACATAACGTCTGCTGCGTTAGTTTATGGCCTGGGGCTGTCAAAACTGAACTCGTGGACAAAATGTTGACAGAGGCCAAGGAGCACAAGGAACAGGATGTTGTTTTCAAGAAAATGGTTTTTTTTAATCTATTTTTTTATTCATCGGTGTTTTGTAGTTTCATTTCTTTGTTTGTATGTTAAAGTTGTATTTTCAGCTTTATTTTGATGAATTCTCTTGACCATTGCATAACTGCATTGCTGAATGTATGTTAAAATACACAATGTATTAAAATTTTAATTAGTTTTATAACTTTTAATATATTAAAAACAATACAATACACAATGTAATTAAATTTCAATTATTTTCATAGCTATTAAAAAATTGAAAATAATTTCATAATGTCAACCAGGAGTCCATGTTTACAAGAGGCCCAGAAAGCACTCAATTTGCCGGATTGGCCATCAGTCACTTAGCAGCTGGTAGATATATATATATGTATATAATTATGTATAATTATGTAACTAATTAATTGGTTATTTATTCAATAAACTATTTTAATTAACTATTATTTACTGTTTTTAGACAAAAATATGATGAATAAAACGGCGAAAGTCTTGATAACTACTGATCTAGCAAACGAATATGGGTTCACTGATATCGATGGTAAAGATCATAATATATATATAATTATTTATTAATTATTCATAAATATGATAAATAATTGATTATATAAAAATAATACTTATATTTTTTTAGTGATAATTATGTTGTTGGTGATAATATTAATGATGATGATGAATATTTTTTAGGGGGAATGCCGGCAAATTTCCGGTCACTATCCTACCTCTTGAGCCACCAAGGGTACTGGATAGCGGATTACATCCCATCCTTCATCAAAGTCCCATACTGGATCCTTGCTCTTGGCGGGAATAAATTCTGAACTTTTTTAAATTGTTGCATAATTGATGATGATGATGGGGATGGTGATTATAACATTATGACGACGATGATGATGGTGATTATGATGATGATGATGGTCGTGGGTAGATTTCGTGTGGTGACTTCAGTGACGCTTTCATGTCTTAGTCCAAACATTGCTTCTCGAAATTCTATCCAATCTTTTCAGATTCACTTTGTTTCTATTCAAATTGTTGCAGAAATTGTAAGTTTATTTTCTCAATTCTAACAGAGTTTCGAGTTGATGTTATTTTGTGTTGATTTTCTGTTACACATACATCCAATGATGGCAGAACCTGTGAAATATTTTTTATGATTTTTTTTCGGTATGATGTTAGCAAACAGAATTCTGACCTTCTGATTGATCTAACATGCATTAATATATTTATATAAAAAATCTCTTTGTAAATTTGTGCTAGCTTAATTTACTAATCGCAGAGTTATATCCATATCTCCATTACTAATACATTAATAATTTTCATGCTAAGGAGGTTGAGTAGCCCGTAAATCTGGTAAAAGTCTACCAGCTTGATTCACTGTATCATACACAGGCAGAACTAAATAAAGAAATAGATAGATATATACACGTAGTTATAATACATTTATAATGTTGTATTTACACATTCAAATTGTACAATTGTGTTATGGTGTAGTCTCAAATTATTTTGAATTTTCTCAAAAAATTTTAAACGTTTTACTACCCTATATATACTAGTTATTTTTATCAACAATTTAAAAATTTTATCAATAATTAAAAAAAAATTTCAAATTGATTTCGTTGCGATATCGATAATGATTTTTGTGACCTGACTGATTAAAAAGCATCAAAGAAAGTTAAAATAGGATGGAGAATTTGTTATATTGGGATATTCGTTTAAAAAGCGAGCAAAATTTTAATATAAAAGCGCTTATAAATCTATGCATATTGGCTCAGCTTGGCTCGGCTTGGAATCGGATGTTAAGCAAGGTGTGGTATTAAACTATTTTGAATTCTCCCCGAAAAATTTGAACTGCGTGCGTACATATATAGTAATGGCTACTGTTGTTTTTTATAATGAATTTATAAAATATATAAATATAGCGAGCAAAATATTAACATAAAAGCGCTTTTAAATCTATGCATATTGGCTTAGCTCGGCTTGGATGTTAAGCGAGGTGTGGTCTCAAACAATTTTGAATTCTCCCCGAAAAATTTGAACTGCGTGCTTACATATATAGCACTGATTACTGTTGCTTTTATAATGAATTTTTATTATATATATATAAAGTGACTGGAATCCATGTATACAAATAATTAAATTATATTATATTAGATTATATGTTTATATGAAAAGCAATATAGCAGATTCAACCAGCCAACCAGAAAGTTTCGAAGGCGTTCGTTCGATGACTTCAATTTAGTACGGTTAGCATTGTGGTTAAGACTGTATAATAGTGCAGTATATACATTAAACAAGTTTTTTACTGATGCGAATGATTGAAATGATGAGAATGTATGGTATGTATGATGTACGAGTATAAATAGAGGAGCTGAGACAACATGAAAATCAAATCAGCATTCTGCCTCGCTTGAAGCAGTCTGTCTGATCTCATTTATTTTATTTTAAAAATTTTTTTATTTTTATTTATTTTATTACATAGAGTTATATAGAGTTATAAAGAGTTATAAAGAGTTATATAGAGTTATATAGAGTTATATAGAGTTATATAGAGTTATATAGTGTTATATAGAGTTATATAGAGTTTGCATGTTTGTAGGTGGTTTGAATGATTGTAGGTGGTTTGAATGATTGTAGGTGGTATTTTTTTAATTTTAGGTGGGTTTTTTAACGGTCTCATACATACATACATACATCATGTTTGTTTGTGTGGTAGTATTTTATGTTCTGTTTTACTCCTTTTTCTCTTTCTTCATGAGTCTTGAGTTAAGTTAATGAAGCATAGGTAGGTGAGGTAAAAATTAATTTATTATATAGGTAGGCTAGGGCATAAGGTAATTTAGTTACATAGGTAGGTTAGGGACTCCTATTCTTTTACTCTACTTGGTGGTGTGATTTTTGTTTTGTGTTTTTTTTTGTTTTGTTTCACATCATACATTCAGCAGGTACGCGGTGGTTCCTGGTTTTAGTGGGATTTTTATTGATTGAATGTGGTAGTATGCGTGGTTATATAGAGTTATATAGAATTATATAGAGTTATATAGTTACATAGAGTTACATAGAGTTACATAGAGTTACATAGAGTTACATAGAGTTACATAGAGTTACATAGAGTTATATAGAGTTATATAGAGCATAAATCCTATATAGATACCTTTCTTTGCTCTTCTTTTCTCTTTTCTTTGCCGACCGGTCGGTTTCTTTGCGGTTATTTTCATTTAAATTGAATAAATACGATTTTACCATTCATTTAGGTTTTTCAGGTCCATTTATCCAGGTTAAAGCTTCCAGAGGAGTTCATCGTGGACGATCAGAATGGTTGTGATGTCACGCTACGTTCGTTCATTCGGTGGCAAAGAATGCACGCCCTGCTGGGGTACGTTTTACGGTTTCTTTGCGGTTCTTTTTTTGCCAGTTGGCTGGCTTTTCCGGCGGAATTCAACGCGGCTCGTTTTTCTATTTTCATTTAAATTAGTCAAATAAATAAGATTTTTCCATTTCATCCCTTTTATTCAGGTTGAAGCTTCCAAAGGAATTCATCGTGGAAGATGTCAGGGTACGTTCGTTCATTCAGTGGCAAAGAAGATACGCCTGGCTGGGATACGTTTTATTCTTTTTTCTCTGTTTTTTCTGTAATTTAACATTAAGTAAGAATGCTCACACGCACACGCACATACACACAATTACATTAAGTAGCTATATAGGCAGGTTAGATAGGCATAATTTTAATTGTAGGTAGGATAGATAGGAAGCATCCAACACTAATGTAGTTGAATAGATAGGCAGCGTAAGTTTATCTCTTCTATTTTTTCTCGCACCCACATTACACGCATCAGCGTACTATACACACACACACACAAATACATACATAAACACATATTAGTATTTGAGCGTTATTTTATTTCCATTACACATTGTAATTTATTATTACTAAGGTTGAGAGTAATTTAATTTCATAGGTAGTTAAAAGCAATAATTTATTTCTAGGAACAACCTTGTAATTTAAATTAAATAAACGCTGTAAGTGTATCGAGAGGTAAGTTAGTTATTAAGTTTTACATTATTATTATTAGGTTGGAGCCCAAGGCATTACGTAGGTGGTGGGGTGGGTGCCGAAAGGCCAATGAATTGGGCTCTTGAGTTTTGTAATTTTAGGTAAGCTAGGGCCATAATGTAATAAATAGGTAAGTTAAGGCTACGTTGTAACACACACTCATTAATAGATTTAGGGTTTAAGTTTTATATTATTACTAAGTTGGAGCCCAAGGCATTACGTAGGTGGTGGGGTGGGTGCCGGCACGTTTTAGATGGTGGTCTCATGATGCTTTACATATGATGATGGTGGTGTAGGAAAAATCAGCTCGTTGGCTGTTCGACTGACACTCTGAAATTCGGATGGTATTTTGTGTGCCGACCAGATGGTGGTGGTCCGTGCAATGGAAAGTACAGTAACGATGATTTTTGAAGTAAGGTTTAGTTTCGTTTTTTATTTTTCTCATTCGTTCATTTTATCACTCAACCTTTTAAATTATTATTCTATTAATTGATTCGTTAATTCATTCTATTCATTAATTGAATCATTGATTAATTAATTAATTCATTCATTCACTCATTCATTCAACCAATTATTCAATCATTCAGTTAATCATTTATTCGATCGTTCCTTTGTTCCTTGATTTACTAATACGCTATTAAAAAATGTCTACAGAATGGTGAGAGGTGGGCTGTGGTGGGCATCAGCACGTTTCAGATGGAGGTCTCATGATGATCGTTCCGATGACAATTCGAAGATAACAACGACGGTTTTTGAAGTATGATTTAGTTTCTTTTTTTTATTTTTCTCATTCATTCATTCATTTTATCACTATCTTTCAAATTATTCCTCAGTTAATTTATTCATTGATTCATTCTATTCATTCATTAAATCATTGGTTGATTAATTAATTAGTTAATTTATTCATTCAACCAATCGTTCAATCATTCAGTTAATCATTTATTCGTTCGTTCATTTGTTTCTTGATTTACTACTTCGCTAATTAATAAAAACTTGTCTACAGAATGATGAGATGTGGGCTGTGGTGGGCGTCAGCACGTTTCAGATGGTGGTCTCATGATGATCGTTCCGATGACAAATCGAAGATAATGTTAAAGGTAAATTTGTTTTTGTCTCATTGTATCTTTGAAAGTACTCGAATTTGAACAAAGATTGAGTGTTATCTCAAAAAGATAAGTTGCCTATTTTTTCCAATTGCTTGTTTTTTATTTTAGTGAATTAATTTTTTTTTCAATTTATTTTTCCTATCCGGTCAAATTCATTCCATCGATGCGTGTCAGATGATGGTCGGTGCAATGGAGGTTTGTCGGTAGTGAGTGAAGTTTCTGGAGAGTGCGCGCCCGCACATTTACATACACACACATCAATACAACACATACATACGCAACATCCATTCATTCGGTGTCGTTGTTGCTATGTTTCTCTTCAACTTTATATTTTCTTTACCGTGAACCGAGCTTTAATTTAATTCATAGGTAAGTTAGGGACTGAGATGAGTTAAACAATTGTAGGTAGGCTAGGGCTTAACATTAGTTAAAAAGCTTCAAGTAAAATAAAAACGCTAAAATATGTTAAATAAAATACTTGAGACATCTAAAACGAGATATACAAATTTGTAGGTAAGTGAGTTGAGTCAATGTTTATAAGTAAGCTAGGGCCCTGAGAGTAATTTTATTATAGGTAGGTGACTGACTATTATTCTTGCGACTTCTTACTAGTTTTGTGTGATGTGTTTGTTTTCGCTTCACAACACCACACCAACAAAACAAACTACATTTCATTTGTGTCGTCGCCTTAAATTGTACCTTTTTGAACAATCTTTTTAATAATGTCAATTTATTTATTCATTAAATGTTGACTGGTTTTTAGTTTTTTTTTAAATTGGTTATATAATTTTTGGATATTTCTTGATTTTCTTTGTATATATGCATGTATAAATTATTTCTGTTTAGTATGTTGATTTAGTCATTATGATATGTTGTGAACTGTTCTTACTAAATGTTCATGTTACGTGGTTTATTATCCTTCGAGAACTTCTAAGGAGTGTGTATGATAATAATAATAATGGATAATAATTATTTTTATCGGTCGATATTTTGTTATATTTGTTTATTTAAAATACGAATTTTTTTAAAAAATTGACATTTTAAAATTTTAATTAACCGTTACTTTTCATTTTTGAATGAATTCAAATAAAAGCAACTACTGTGTTTTTCTTTCTTTACTAAAATCTCGAAATTGTTTGTAGATCTGTACGGTTAACTGTTCGTTCGAGTTTGAACAGGCCTTGCAAATTTTTTTTATTTATTTTTGTTTTTATTTTTGTTTATTTGGTTCATTCAATTTAGTTGATTGATTGATTGATCGGTTGATTGATCGTTTGGTTGATTGATTGACTGACAGACAGACTGACTGACTGGCTGCGGCTGGCTGACTGACTGACCGACCGACCGACTGACTGATTGTTTGATTGATTTATCTCATAGTATTGTATACATGAGAAAAAATCCGATTAAGCCAACCTACGGCTTCAGTAAGCCACTGTTTTTCACCTGACAAAAGCAATTTCTATATTTATACTGACAAAAATAATTGTGATATGAATATATTGATTTATTTAAAGCATTATATGTACAAAAAAGTGCTATCGTGAGAGTTCTATGAAATCCTGGTAAGCCAACGTATGATTTCAGCAGCCAGTTTCTTATGAGCACCAGCAGAATGTAAAATATTCATTGAATATAATGAAGATAGTTGTTCAAATAACAATTTTGATTTATTTAGGCCGTTTATTTCATAAGCAAACCAATTTTTAACATGATCGAATAGTGTAAAAAAAAGGGTGACTATAGTTCAATCCTACTAAGCCAACCTTCGGCTTCAGTAAGCCACCGGATTTCACCGGACCAAAAGCAATTTTTATATTCAAATTAACAAAAATAATTTAATAATACATAATTCTATTAATCATTATTAAAATTAAATAAAATTACTACAATGTTTTAAGCATATTAAATCAAGTATATATTTCATATAGCTTGCTCGTTAAAATCCATGCAATTTCGTAAGCCAACAATCCAAGCACGACAAATAGCCCGACAGATAGATCAAATTGATCGATTAGTCCTATTATTCTAGTTATGTGGTTTGGAGCAAGGGGAGACATTACTGAAAATAATTAAAAGTTGAAAAATTTAGGTTCTTTGCATATCCCTGCTTCAACCCATAAGAAGGTGTTGTGTGCTGGTAAATAGGCCTCCCCTTGATTCCATGCTTCTGACTTAAACGATAAAAAAATCACCCCCCGAATCTTCTCCAAAAGTAAGCTCCTTGTTCAACCGTTAAAAGTGAGCGAAGACCGTTATATTTATTCTAGTTATGCGATTTGGCGTGCACCTTTTTAAACCTCGTCAAAAGGTTCGGCGATTGACTTTCCATAAATTTTGTTCTACGTTTAATTCTTCCGGGTTCTGAACTATTGTTTTGGAGGTGGGTGATCACTTGAAATAAAATTTAATTTTTGTTAGTTAATGTCCTCAATTTCGCCGCAATGGACAGCAAAGGACGACAAGTAGTTGTTTGCGATAACGGAACCGGGGTTTGTTCAAGTTTTTTTCATTTAAAAATTAGTGAATTCCGCTTGCGGAACTCTTTCGTGATTTCATCCTGTGTGTTTCAGGAAGTCTAATTCCTGTTAAATTCTGTTTCAAACACCGTTAAAGTGGTTAAATAAATGGTTAAATACTAATCTTCATACTTTTAAAACTACAAAAAATTTATTTTATTTCCTACATTTGATTAATTTCAACACTTTACTTGCAGTTTGTAAAATGCGGATTTGGTGGCACTAACTTTCCAACTCACATCTTCCCATCTCTGGTTGGCAGGCCAATACTCAGGTCCAAAGCTAAAATAGGAAACATCGTCGTTAAAGTTAGTAAATGGAGTTTTGTCATCAATCCATGAGCTAAAAATAGCTTTTTCAATGTTACAAATCAATGAAAAAATATAATATGCAAAACAGGATTTAATGATTGGAGATGAGGCCAGTGAGCTTAGATCGATGTTAGAAGTTTCCTACCCAATGGAAAATGGGATTGTGAGAAACTGGGATGACATGATAGCCCTCTACAAATACACATTCGGCCCTGACAAACTGAACATCGACCCAACCAACTGTAAGATCTTGCTGACAGAACCTCCCATGAATCCGCTGAAAAATAGGGAAAAAATGGCAGAGGTGATTGATATAATCTAAATAATTTGGTTTTTTAATTTAATTCTGAGTTCAATTTGGCAATATGTGTGTGCTTTGTTATTGTTATAGTTGCATTATTGTTGTTTATTGTTAAACCCATTATTATTATTTTCACCACAGGTGATGTTCGAGCAGTTTAACTTTCAAGCGATATACATAGCCATCCAGGCAGTTTTAACTTTGTATGCGCAAGGTGGGGAAATTATATTTAAAATTTATATTTAAAATTTATAGATCAATGAGATTGGCTGGTTGGTTGGCTGTTTGATTAATTGATAGGTAGGTTGGTTAGTCTATTGGTTGATCAATTTATAAGTGGGTTGGCTATATGATTGGTCATTTAGTAAGTTGGCTGGCTGGTTTGTTGATTAGTTGGCTATTGGTTGGTTAATTGGTCAAGTATATGCTTGGTTGATTGACTGATTGACTAGTTGATTGAATGATTGATAAGTAATTTGGTTGGTTGGTTAATTAAAACCTTTCAATAAAAACCATGCACCCAGGCCTACTGACCGGTGTGGTAGTTGATTCGGGAGATGGAGTGACCCACATATGTCCAGTCTATGATGGCTATGCCCTCCCACACCTCACCAAACGATTGGATATTGCTGGCCGTGATATCACTCGATACTTGATCAAGGTGTGCCGGTGTGTTTGTGGGGCAGTGGTGTGTGTTTTTTGGTGTCTTTATTGGTGTGTAAGTTGGGTTAGGGTGCTTAATTTTTGGTGTTTTGGTGTGGTTTGAGATATATATATATATATATATATATATATATATATATATATATATAGGTGATGTGTGTCATTGTTTCTTAAATTAGCGTTTATAGCTGTGTTTGTAGATGTGTGTGTGTGTGTAAGTGTGTTGTGCGTGTATGTGTGTTTGTGCGTGTGTGTTGTGTGTGTGTTAGCACACGTGTATCCATGCTCATTCATGTCATTGTGAGTGTGTGTGTGTGTTAGAAAGATGATACAATACCCACACACACGCGCAGCACACACACACACACACACAAACTTACTTACACACAAAAACTCACACACTCACAAACTTACTTACACACAAAAACTCACACACACACAAACTCACACACACACACATTTTGATACAAATGTGCACATCTGACAGCTGCTGTTACTCAGAGGTTATGCCTTCAACCATTCTGCGGACTTCGAGACTGTTCGCATAATGAAAGAGAAGTTGTGTTATGTGGGCTACGACATCGAATTGGAGCAAAAACTGGCTCTGGAGACAACCGTGCTCGTCGAGCAGTACACCGTTAGTGTTTACTGCTCTTGAATGTTTGTTGACGTGTTTTTGTGTGTGTTGTATGTATGGGTGTGTGTGTGTGTGTGTGTGTGTTTCTTTATGTGTTTGTTTGTTTTTGTGCTTGCTTTTATTAATTAAATTGCTCATCTAACTCCAATTTAAAGTTACACAAACTTAATATCATTCGATCCCTTAGTTATTCCTCTGTCCATTTTTACCATTGTCTTTGTGGTTGTTTTGGTTACTGTTACTGAGCATTTTGAAATTGTTTATTGGAAAATCGAAATTTTTCTACCCAGTTACCAGATGGCAGGGTGATAAAGGTTGGAGGGGAGAGATTTGAAGCCCCTGAGGCACTGTTCCAGCCGCACCTCATCAACGTTGAGGGCGTTGGCATTGCTGAACTCCTGTTCAACACTATACAAGTTTGTTGTTCTTTTTGTTATTTATACCGTTGTTAGTGTTATTTATTTATAAATTTGGTTCATGTTTAGATATAAATTTATTTTATAATTCAGTTAGTAATTCGTTTTCTGTTTCGATTTTTCCATCATTCCTCTAACTGAATAATGACAATTGACGCGTTTTGTTGCTAGGCAGCCGACATAGACACGAGACCAGACTTCTACAAACACATCGTGCTGTCCGGCGGCTCGACCATGTACCCCGGTCTGCCAAGTAGATTGGAGAGGGAGATGAAACAGCTATACTTGGAGAGGGTCCTCAAGGGAGATACTGAAAGATTAACGGTAAGGGTTTGTTTGTTTGTTTGTTTGAAGTCAGGTTGGCTGGCTTAGTTATTGTTTGTTTGTTTGGTTGGCTGGTTGGTCGAGTGGATTGTCTTGTTGGGTTGGTTTTCTTGTTTGGTTGGTTGGTTAAATAATTGGCTGCTTTTTGTTCATTAACAATAACTGACCATGACCATATCAAGAACATCTTTTCCACCACAGAAATTCAAAATCCGGATCGAGGACCCACCACGCAGGAAGCACATGGTCTTCATGGGTGGAGCAGTCCTGGCGAAGATCATGAAGGACAAGGAGGACTTCTGGATGACCAGGCAGGAATACCAGGAGCAGGGAGTCAGAGTCCTGAGCAAGTTATCTCCTAGCAGTCGTTAAAGATTCAAACTTTCATACATATATACCCTGTGTGTATGTATGTGTGCACACCTTTGTATGTATGTGTATATGTGTGTATATTTATGCGTGTGTGTGTGTGTACGCGCGTATGTCTCTGTATACATACTTTCCTGTTTGTATCTTATCTGTGTAGGTATGTACACATGCACGTGTGTATAGGTGTATGATTGTATTTGCACGCTTGTACCAGTATGTATGTATAAGCGCGCGCGTCTGCGTGTATGTGTGTGGTGATGTGTGTACGTGCGCGTGTGTGTATTGGGATTAGGCTGCATGCTGAAAATTTGATAATTTGGATTTTGTTAAATTATACATTTTTGAATTTTTTCAGTTTCTAACGACATATGATAATATTCGGTGATGGTGGTTATAGAATGGTGGTGATGGTTTTGATGGTGATGGAAGTGGTGATGATGACGACGATGATGTTGATGATGATGACGATGATGATCATAGGGATTAGGTTGTTATTACATTCTCATGCAAGCTTATTATTAACTCTAAGCCAATAGATACATACCTACACACATACGTACGCATACACACACACACACATACACACTTATAAATACATGCAAACATTTTGTCTTTATTACTATTATTGTTATTATTTATTATTGAAAATTTAATTTGTAAATTATTTACGAAGCGTTTTGTTATCTCATATACATATATATTCCTACAATAAGACGTTTGGGTTTATCAGTTTAAATTTGAAAAGTTTTTCAATTTAAAATGATATTAAGAATAATAATAATAATTAAAATAATAATAAGAATAATAGGAATAATATGTGATAAAATAAATATTAATGATAGAAATTTGAGATGTTTTTATTAGTTTTTTTTAAAATTCCTGGGTTCAGCCACTTGTATTTATTACTAAAAAAATCATTTTTATAGTTAAATCATATATCTATATAAGTTATTTGTTTATATAAATAAATAACTTATTATTAAAAATGAATTGTTTTTATGTAATAAGGATTTTTCAACTGAATCTGTAACAGTTAAATGTTGACTGAATGACGATGATAGTTAAGTTAACACTATAATAATAATAATAATAATAATAATATGGATGTGACCTTGACATTGAATTGAATGTAACCTTGACATTCCCCGTTTTACTATTTCGCTGCTCTTTTCTCGTAATTATTAAGTAATAAATTAGGTCTCCTCTAAGAAAGAAAAAAACGTCTCAGTTGTTTTCGCTTTCACACACACACGCACACACACACACACACACATCAATTGCTTTTGTTGCTATATAGTCTGATAGATACACAAACACACATACAACACACACACACACATAATAAATACAAATGTGTGCATTTAGTTAGTTCAATAGTTCGGCGGAATTGATATGTGGCGAAAAGAAGATTAATAACATCACGATATTGTGAGCGTTAAGTTACGATTTAACGAAATTGTGTTGGAGTGCCGTGTTTTGTGCTGCGTATAGCGCGGTGACCTGTTTCGAATCCTATCCTCTCCGTCCGAAAATCACACGCTTTGTATCGTGTGTGTTATGCGTGTACAGTCAAATGCGTGTGTGTGCGTCGTGAAACCCTCAACGTTACGTTTTAATGGATTTTTTAAAAATTTATCATTAACACAATTTATTTTTCTTTTATTAACGAATGGAACTTGAGCTTTTGAGACATTTTCACGTCTTTAAGATACACAAAGTTCGTGAGTAACGATCATTTTATTGCTTCTAACTAAATAGGAAAAATAGAAAATGACACGAAATTGACTTCTACAAACAAAAACAAAACTAAACAAAGGAATGATTCAATGAAAATGAACTGCTAAATCTTCGAACAAATTCGTCTCATAATTGGCTAAAAAAGAGTTATCCCTTTAAAATAATTCAAGAATTACAAAGTAAAGAGTTTCTCATCACGTCAAACATTTAAGGAGGAATGTTTTCAAGTGAACAACCTGGCATTGCGTGTCTGTATGTGTTGTCTGTATGTGTGTCAATCTGTCTGTATTTATGTTTCTTTTTTCGTTTATGTGTCTATATGTTTTATGCGTGTGTGTGCGTATATATGTATATATATATATATATACATATGCATATGGCGGTATGTGTCTATGTATTTGCGTGTGTCCATGTGTGTTAGTATGTGTTCCTAGGTGTATTAGTGTGTGTGTCTGTTGTTTTATGTGTGTGTATGTGTATATTTATCTCTACACTCAGGAAAAAGTCTTCAAAATGGAGTAACATCTATGGAATGTCCTGCAACTAGTTCGTCGGAAAACAAACATACAAAACTAAAAAATTTTGGAAATACTAAAAAATAAAGATTTTGCAGTTTTTTTAACTTGTCTGTTCAACTCTCTTCAGAATGTTTTCAAATCTTAATCGAACATAAATTGCATTTTTTTTTGCAAAATTAAAATTTATCTTACCAACTCTCTTGTCATCCCAACTGAAACGAATTGAAAATAACATCGTTGAAAGATTCTTCAAAAGTTATTTTCAATACTCGTCTACCTGCTTTGTAAGGTTAGATTGCAGTCGTTTTTTGTTGATGTTGTAGCGTCAGACATGCTTGTTGTTGTTGTTGTTGAAGTTGCTGAGGCAGTTGTAGCTGTTGTAGCTGATGACGTTGTTGATAATGTTGCTGCTGCTGAAGATATTGCATCATGTGTTGTTGTTGTTGTTGTTGTTGATGTTGTTGTTGTTGTTGTTGTGGATGTTGTTGTAGCGGCACATTAGAATAAATTGAATACTGATTTCCTTTGAATATGGAACTGTGGTGCTTTGGTTTCTGTTTTCTTTCCTGGGAAAATTCCTTAACGAGTGGCTGCTGTAGAGGTTTTTGAGACTGTTGTGGCTGTTGCAGAAGTTGTTGTGGCTGTTGCAGAAGTTGTTGCGGCTGTTGCAGAAGTTGTTGTGGCTGTTGCAGAAGTTGTTGTGGCTGTTGCAGAAGTTGTTGTGGCTGTTGCAAAAGTTGTTGTGGCTGTTGCAAAAGTTGTGGCTGTAGCTGAAGCTGTTGTTGTCGTTGCTGTTTTTGTGTTTGTCTTAATTGTTGCTTCAGTAGTTGCTGTTCTTGCGACTGCTGGAATGGCTGCTGTTGTGGTTTCTGTGGTTGCAACAGTTGCAATTGTAGCTGACGTGCTTGTAGCTGCAGTGGTTGCAGCTGTTGAGATTGCGGCTTCTTTTGTTGTTGCTTCTGTTCTTTGCTGGCGTTCACCAAACAGCCGACCTCCTTGAAATGAAGATTAACCATATGTCGCTTCTTATTAGAGAGGACGTTGAAGGACCTCCAACAGTAGTTACACTTGAATGGTTTTTCGTTCGTGTGTGTCACGAGGTGGCGTCTCAAGTTGCTCTTGTTCTTGAAAGATTTCAAACACAGATGGCAGGTCAGCCCGCTTTTGACTTGATGAGAAAGAGTTGTTGTTGTTGTAATTGCGTTGCTGCTGCTGCTGTTGTTGTAAAAACTGATTTTGTTGTTGTTGTAGCCAGTGCTGCTGCTGTTGCTACTGCTGTTAACGTAGCCGTTGTCGGTGCTGTTATAGATGTTAATGTTGATTTTGTTCTGGAGGTTACTTTTAATTGCAGCAAATGAATATGCATTGATGTTGCTGGTGGTGCTGTTGTTGTTGTTGCTGCTGCTGCTGCTGTTGTGAATAACACTAGAGCTTGTAGTTGCTGCTAACACATAACTAGAAGAAGCGTTACATTCATTGGCCGCAACTTCTCTTGCTGCAGCTCCACTCATCTCTTTGTTACGATTGCAGGATGTAACTGACGAAGCGTTAGAAGTAGTAGTAAATGTAGTATTCATCAGTACGGGAGTATTAATACTAGTTGCAGTAGTAGTAATAGTGGAAGTAGTAGTTGTAGTAGTTGCAGTAGCAGATTTTGTAGTAGCGGTAGAAGAAATAGTGCTGAAGTTGTTGTAAACATTGTTGATGGTGTTGTAAAAAATGTTGTTGTAGCAGTTTAGGTTGGTTAATAGCTCAAGAGCGTTATTGTTATCAATGTTGTTGTTAGTGTTGTTGTAGTTGATGGTGTTTTTAATGTCATACTGAGCGAGAGAGTTCATCTTACTGAAGTGACCATCATATGGTTTGATAGAATTGATGTAATAATTATTTTTGTAACGGTCGATAGCTGAGTATGTTGGCTGTTGGACATTGTAACTTGTGCTCTTGTCGTTAATGTAATTGTTGTTGCTGGTGTTACCGCTACTGGAGTTGTTGTCATTGTTGTTGTTTTTGCTGGAATCATTAGTGATGTTGTTGTAGTTTTTGAGGTCGTTGTTGTTGGTGCTGTAACTGATTTTTTTGCCGTTGACGACCGAATTTTTATGAAACTGCTGTTGAAGAAAATAATTATGTCGCAGCTGAAGTTGCTGTTGAAACTGCTGCAGCTGCTGATAATACTGAGGTTGTAGTTGACGTGACATCAACTGCTGTCGTTGTTGCTGTGATGAATGTTGTTGTTGATGCTGTTTTATATGAATTTTTTCTATTTCTCTTGGACTTAATGCCAGTTTGTTTGAATGTGACCTACCTGTTGATAAGTCAATCGGTTCGGTCTGCTCTGATTCGACATTATTTGGTTTATTGTCTTGATGAAATGTTTGATAAGGCAGTGATTGAAATGATGGTTTATAATTTGATTTGTTATGAGTTGATGATTGGTTGATTGGTTGATTTGGAAAGAAAGGATTGGCGAATGTTTTGTTGTTAGATTGAGCTGAATTGTTAGCCAAATAATTAGCCAGAAAGCTGGTTGGTGGCGAATACGATCGCTGTTTGACAGGCCAGCTAGCTGATTGACTGAGATTGGTCGATTGATTGCTTAAGTGGTTGAATTGTTGCTGCTGTTGTTGCTTGATTGATTGGTTGATGACGCAATCAACTCTACCTTCTAAAACGTCTAGAATATTCTTCATACTTCTCTGTATATTTCGAAGATGTGTATTGCCTTCGGCGAGAAATTCATTGTAAAAGAAATTTGCGTTAAGTTTGTAACTCCCACTGCAGTGACTGCCGTCTGTATTACTGCATTCGTCATTATTATTATTATTATTATTATTATTATTATTATTATTATTATTATTATTATTATTGTTGTTGTTGTTATTGTTGTTGTTGTTGTTGTTTACATCATCATCATCATCGTCACAATTGATGTAACTGTTATTACCATTTTCGTCGTCATCATCAACGACATTTATATAAGGGTCATCATCATCATCATCGTCGTTGTTGTTGATGTTTTCGAAATCGTTGCTATTATTGTCACTGATGTTGTTCTTTTCAGAAGCAAAATTGTTATTATTATTGTTGTTGTTGACTTCAAATACATTATTATTATTATTATTATTGTTATTATTATTATTGTTATTATTATTATTATTATTGTTATTATTATTATTGTTATTATTATTATTATTATCACCATTGTTATCTGTGTTTTTATTGCTTTCGCAACTATTGTTGTTGTTATTATTATCATGGTAACTATTATCATCACCATTACCATCACGTCGAATACCATCATCATCATCATTACCATCATTATATTTTCCTCCCAAACCAATAGCATTACGATCCTTCACGGGCAAACTCAGCACGACTTGCCCGGTTTCAACTGCAGACTGATTCTCATCATCATCGTCGTCACTTTCATCACCACCATCACCATCGTCGCCGTCGTCATCATTACAAACTTTATTTTTTCCTTCTAAAAGTTTGAAGTCATTAGTTTCTGAAAATGGCCTCAACGCTAAGTTCCCGGGTTCAAGAGCAGAGTGAACATCAGTAGATGGAAAGCACGATCGTTTAACGGTCGGCTCTACATTCTCGAAATTTTCAACTGGATACCTGTCAATACTTTTTCGCATTTTTCGGAGGTCAGAGTTTTGCTGGGACGAATTCTGCAGCTGTTGGCTGAGGTCTGTACTAGCATTAGTAAAAGCCGTAGTGATTGTGGTAGTAATAACCGTTGTTGTAGACGTTGTAGCAGAAGCAGTAGCTGTTGCAGTGTGTCTTGCTCTAGCTGTAGTAGCGGTACCAGTGAAAGCCACAATGGCTGTTGTGGTAGCAGCAGCAATAAAGTTAGTATTATTACCTGTAGGATTACTATAGTTTTTAGAAGTATTCGTAATTTTAAAAGTAGAACCACTATGATTGATAACAGTTTCTCTAGTAGTAGCTTCATCAGCCTCAACAGGATCTGGCGAGTTGACGCTAGTAATAGTCTTGTCGTCGTCGTCATCATCATTGCCATCAGCGTTCAGATAGTTGTGGTTGCTGTTGATGAGGTTTGGGTTGTTGTGGTTGTTAATGACGTCACTATTCGCGCTGTCGCCGTGGTTGTTGTTGCTGTGGCGCGTGACGTCATTGGTGGCGTTGTTGCTGTGATGGATGACGTCATAATTTGTGATGTCGTTGTTGACGCTTAGGCTGCTGCTGTAGATGACGTCATTATTCACCTTGACCTTGCTGTCACCATCGTCGTCAGGTTTTTCATGTTGGCGGGAAAATGGTTCCCCCGCAATTTTATTCATTTTCAATCTGGCCACTACCACCTCTAATGATTTGCCGCTCGATTTTTTCATTTTTGCTCAGATAGAAATTTTATTCGAATGAATGAAAGGAAGATTTATAACAGCAAGCACCAGTCGATCTTATTATTTATTAATAATATTGTAATTATCAAGTTAATATTATCTTCAGTTGCTTTATTGTTATGTTTCTGTTGCTTAAAACAACAAATATTTTCTTTGAAAATTATCAATTTCTGTCAAATTATTCCTAAACTACACTATGTTAGGGATTTAATAATAATCATCCAATCATCATTGTAGCAAACATTATATTAAATGATATAATCTAGTTATAATATAAACGTTATGTGTATGTATGGCTATGGAGCCTGATATAGTTAAACATAGCAAAATTTTTAAGTTTAAATCTTAAACATAATTAAACAAATTAGACAATTTTACTTCTACATTAATTTGTTATGCTAAGATTTACTTAGTATATGCAAAATTTTATGCAAAAATTAGACATTTCTAATATAATGATAAAAAATGAAAAAAAAATGAAATATATACTTTTTTATACAGCACATAAAGCATTGAAATACATGAAACCATAAACCATCACAATCAAATCCTTCATTCCTTCATTCATTCATTCACTATTTCACTCACTCTTTACATACTAACAATCCCAGATAACATTCGTTTTTAAAAAATCTCGCTCAACAAAAATCAAACTAAACAATCCTATTTGCCTGCAACACTATTTTTTTTCGAAAATTTCAAATGAAATTTCGATTTGGAATTTTTAAATTCAGTGTACAATTATTAAACATGTACACTTTTAACTATAAATAAATGTACATATATATTTATTAAATAAGTTAATATATATAAATATATATATATATACATATATATGTATATAAAGAGAAAGAGAGAGAAAGAGAGAAAGAAAGAAAAAGAGAGAGCCCGTCCGAACATTGGAAGGTACGGTATAGCTGTCAAGTGTGCTAAAGTTGAAAGCCTGGAAGAAAAGCTTTATAAAATTGTACACCAACGCATACAAATACACACACACATACATGCTTATATACACATACACACATGCAAACATAGGCAAAAAAATACATACATGCGTACATAAATACATACATATATATATATATATATATATATATATATATATATATATTTCTAAGTTGTTTACAATATGAATGTGTTTAATTCTAGTACGGTTGATTGTGAACACGTGCATTTTGAATGAATTTGGGAGCAATCTTTAACAGGTTTCGTATCATTTTGTCTCGTTTCGATTTATTAGACAGATAAATTACATACAATACAAGAATACAATGCAATAATAAATACAAGAATAGATGATACAAATTAATAGACAATACACAAACACAATGCATAAATACGTGCATAACTAAAAATTTAAATACGCGATACACAAAGTTAAAAATACCCAAAATACATAACAGACAAACTTAGCCAAGCTCGTCTATTGCAAAACATCTACTCGCAAAACAAATGTAAAAACCATAACTATGATTAGAATAGCAATATTCATTAATACTTCTACTATTACTATATTACCACTACTGCTACTACTACAACCGCTAATATTACTGCTACTGCTGCTACCACTTGCTACTACTACAACCGCTACTCCTGCTGCTACTACTACTACTACTATTTCTACTACTACTTACTACTACTACCAGGGTCGTTAGCTATACTAAAAAGTTATATCTCCAATACCAATACAAATACCGGGTTCAAGATTTGTTGCCGATACTAATAACGAACCGATACTACCCATTCTTGAAAGCATTGCAGGAAAAACCGACACCAACATTTGGTATTTTGAATTGTATGCTATATAAAAGAATTCATTCGGTGGTTGATGCTTAACATGGAGATGACTTCACAACGTTTAGTTAGTTTGAATTTATCAAATTTAAAGCAAGGACGCCTTGGGGTAGCTAGCAATGAAGCGAAGACCCTTAATTTTTTCAGAATGAAAAGGACAATTTTCCGTAGAATCTTTCGTAAAATTATTTCAGCTAAAATTATAGTGCAAATATCTTTATTTTTTATTTACAAACAACTGCTTCTTGAAAGTTGAAAGTTGGACAAAACTGTTCGTCAATGGATTAAACAGTTTCTTGAAATTTTTTAAACCACTAAAAAGAACAAGATAGCTACGAGATAGAAACGACAGTCGGAACAAAACGAATTTTTAAAAAGAAATACGGCAAAATTTTTTAAAAATCTCAAATTTGCTTCTTGAAAACTAAAACTAAACTTTGAAAACTAAAATGATCTTAAATAAAAAAAATATACCCAGCCGTTGTCCAAAAGTATCGAGTACCGGGTACCGATTCGATTTTTTTTCGGTTTAAAATGCTTGAATTATTAATGTATCAATAATTGAACAATTAACGAATGAATGAATGATCTTTTGATTGATTTAATTGGCCAATGTTTGAATAATGAATGAATGAATGAATGAATGGATGGATGGATGGATGAATGGATGGATGGATAGATGGATGGATAGATGGATAGATGGATGGGTGGAAGAATAAATTAATGAATGATGTATAAGCAACTTAAATTCACTTTTCAAAATTTTGACGTCACGCGTATATTAATAAACGGTTTCTTCTTTTAAAAATTTTACTTTATTTTTTTTCCTTATTTTTTGACGATAATTTTTCATTAATTTACATATTTAATTTATTCATCATAGTAAAGTTTCTTAATATATAAAAAAATAAAGGAAAAAGCTTTCATCAAACACACAGGCACGCACACACACACATACACACACATACATATACACACACACACACACACATACTCATACACACACATACACACACATTCTTGGTATATAAAGGCATGCACTTGCATTGCTTATCGTCTGTCTGCCTGCTAACGTTGAAGGGGTAGGATTAATTTTTTTTACAGGCATCATCATCCTCATCTTCATCCTCATCTTCATCACCATCACCATCTTCATTTTCACCATCATCGTTATTATTATTCGCATCGTCGTTACTTCGTTTTTTTTAATGGAAAATTACTCATTTCTTGGGGAGCAAGCCATATTTTAGTACTTTAGTATTTCTAGGTTTATCTCCGCCTGTTTCTGTTTCTATATCTTCCTTTCTTTCTGTCTGTCTGCTTGTCTCTCTCTCTCTCTCTCTCTCTTTCTCTCTCTCTTTCTCTCTCTCTTTCTGTAAGTTGTATATAAAACACTTATGTTGTATTAATGATAATTTTGACGTGTTATATTCTACATTTGGACGGATAATAATCAGTTAGTTTTTTATGAGTGTGTGCGCAAAATGTATGTATGTGTGTGCGTGCGTGTCTATGCGTGTGCGTGTGTGTGTGTATGTGTATTTATATATGTGAAATGTATATATATGTTATATATGTGATTAATGAAATTGTGAGCTTGTGAGCTTGAAATTTATAGAACTTTTATTCTTTTTAGTTAATAAATTGTCGTTACTTTTATCAATAAATTGATGGATTGATTAAGAGGTTAGTCTTGTTAATGATTATTATGATGATGTTAATTGGTGATGATAATAATGATGGAGAAGAAGTTGATGTTGATGATGAGGATAGTGATGATGAAATTCATTAATATTCATGAGTATCAGTTCGACCAATAGGAGTTCATTGGCATTATGATGTAAAATTTATTAAGATTATGACGATGATGTTGGTGATGATGATGATTAAACTAACGATTATGATGATGTAGATGGTTATGACGATGATGATGATAGTGCAGATGAAGCTCATTAATATTCATGAGAGTCTTTCGACCAATAAGAGTTCAGCGATTTTATGACCTAGGTTCATTATTATTATTGATTGGAAATGATAAGATGATGACGACAGTGGCGATGATGATGATGATAGTGCGGAAGAAGATCATCAATATTCATGAGAGTTCATCGACCAATAGGAATTCAGTGTTTTTATGACGTAACTTTTTTATCGATTTGTTTATTACGTTGTCTCTACATGGTTATTGATAGCCTATGTTGTATGCATGTACGTATACCATATATTTACACTTTTTAATAACAACAAATAACAACAACAACAATAATAATAAAAA